ATATCTTACTGAAAAAAAGAATTGGGCTAAGACTCTTTTTCTATAGGTGAATCGAAAGCAAGGTTTTGATTTCAATAAGTGCAATGCAGTGAAAAGCACTAATGATCACATCAGTGTGAAGGACACTTTTTCTCAGACACAGAGAAATGTACAGGGCAATTCTAGGGAATAAGACCCCAGACCAGATTGGTTAACCTGAGTTAAACCTGATAATTATTAGGCCAAATCTCCCCGTTACTTGCTCTAAGCATTAGTATACTTGACTTCTACTAGGTGTACAGGTGTCGTTGTGAATTGATTGTAGAAACAGTTCAGCTATTTGACCTTTCATAGAAATAGCTAAAATTGTGCCCTATGGTCTTCAGTTGCATATCTATACCTAGGCTGGCATCACTGTCATGTGGCTCCTCCTTGGCTACGTCATGATACCCAGAAAGGGTTATGCTGACTGAATGTATCCTTGAAACAATGATAAAATAACTTTTTTCTCGTGATCATAATGTACATTAGTCTATATCCATGAATTCCAAGGTGAACTGTAGCCTGGAGCTTTCATTTGTTAGCAAAGGAGCCACCTCCACTAATGTTTAATGGGTTGGGACAAGCTCTTGTAATGCAGTTGCCTTAGGCTGCTTCCCTCTACTTGAACTTAATCTTAACACCTTTTGCAGCTGGTGACACTACTTATGTTTGGGTATGTTGAGAGGAAATTTCTTGTATTAAGTGAAAATAAATCTGGACAGGAATCCCAGATTGGGAAGAGAACTGTGGAAGAGTTGGATTGTGAGCACCTCTTTCATTTTTCATAACTTGACAGCATAATTTTAGGCTCCAGGAAAAAATGATGACACTGCTAGAAAAGATCACGGGTAGTCCTATAAAGCAGAATGTGAAACATAGGGCCAGCACTACAGTAATAGATGAATTTAAACAGAAGAATTCAAGTCTCCTACAAGGCAGGCGTGTAATAGAAAAATTGATCACTGCAATTCTGTTGAATGTTTCAGGTTTTTCCTTTTTTTTTTCTTCTTCATAGTGGATTGCAGAACATGGAAAAAGCTTGTTTGTATGGCTGGGTAAAACTCAATGAAGTCTAAAATGCCTGGAAAATTACTTCTAAAGGCTTGTCTATTTGGAAGGTATTGGATATCTGTGTTCCTTGCTACATGCAAATAAGTTGTCTGATGAGCTATGTGTAGGAATGGAACTTCCAAAAGTGTTGTTTGTAAGAGACATTGTTTTGGAGACATTCATTGAAACAGACAAGAAAATACTTTTTACAAGGCTGAACGTTTCTATTAGGTTAGCCATAAAGCAAACATGATTTTTATTCTCTGGCGTGAGTCATAGTTAACTGTATCAATCCCTTCATAATGTATTATCCAAATGGCTTGTTGGCAATAAGCAAAGCTTAATCCTGTTATGTGTCAGTATGTTCTATGCTATCTTGTCCTTACTGCCCAAGGATTCAACGCTTCCAAATACGTCATGATTTAATTGAAAAGTAGAACCGGTGTGTGTTTGCCGTTCTTAAAACTTGAATCCATTGTGTGTGTAGATACACGTTTAGTTTTTTTGCCTTTATTTGGATGGGTAGTCTTGAAAAATTTGAGCAAAAGGGACCAGTGGCAGGTCAGTCCCTACTATAGCTAAGCACGAAACATAGATGTCGACTCCAGTGTATTCTTACAGCAGTATTGTGCTGGGAACCATCTGAGAAGTTTGTAGGCTTGTCTGGTAGGTACCATTGCAGGAAGCCAGGAAAATTGCTCACCTTTCTTAACCAGCAGCTGCCTTCTTGGGAGGAAATGTAATTACATCCGTCTTGCCATGTGAAGCTTGGGTCATTGTTCAGTGTGCATGGATACGTGCCGAGGTTTTGAAGTCACCACAGATAACAGTGCCAACCTGAAAATAATCCCTCGAAGCAATGCGAGCTCAAACTGGCTGTGCTGTGACTGTCTCTTGTGTTGTGCTCTGAAAACAAACTACTGCTGCATGCAGATGCTGTTCTGGTACCACTGAAATTAAAATGAGTAGATCAGACTGCGATTTGCATGGTAATGTTTCTTTCCCCCCCAGTGTTTGGCTGGACTATGCCCAACTACCAATGTCATTTCTTGCTGGGAAGAAGAAATTAATGTCTGTCAACTCAGTGATTCAAGGTAACCAGTGTCAATAATAGGCAGTGATAAATACAAATAAAAAACATAAACAAAAAACCCTCACTTTAATTTGGAATTCCAGATGATGTTGCACTACCTGAGCTGGCCTAACTCATTAGTTCATTTATTACACAAAGAAAGAAAGAAAAACTTTTTAAAGCAATGCGTCTTTGATATTCCCTGTATTCTTTTTATAATCCTCTGTAATTCTTATGTATCTCTTCACACATGTGGATTCTTATATTAACATCTTTCTTTTGATGGGTACCCTTAGCACATAAAACCTTGTTTGCACAGATTTTCTTTTCTACGTGTGCTTCATACGCATGTAATAAGTAGATAATTGTACATAGGTTTATGTGGCAAGTGTGCTCATGCTGCTGTTGTCAGTGATAGTGTTACCCCAACGGGAGGGGTAACAGAAGCAAGCATTACTATACTGAGCTGTACAAACAGTGCATATATGTGGATCCTTCTTACTCTGTCAAAACCAACAGCAATAGATCATTCAAAAGGCAGATTTCCTCATTAAGTTACTCATCTCCCTGTGTACAGCTTGCCATAAACATACACACAACCTAAGCCTCTCTCTAAATGATGATTTGTTAGTCCAGATAAAATAAAATCCTCCCAAAGTCTTCATCTTCATTTGTCATTAAAAATTTTATTCCTCTCACAGTTGTTGGTTTTTATTGCTGTAGTAAAGATTTTTAAGTAAAATAGATTTGGGAGCTGAGGGATAGAATAAGCATCTGAACTTGACATAAGAAGTGCAGTGTTGCTGTTTTTTTTCCACATAGGCAGTGAATGCATTCTGCAACTTTACCAAAAAAGTCTGTCCGATGTAAGCATGACCATATGGCTCTATCAGTTTGTGTGTGTAGATCAAACTGAAAAAAAGCAGGGTGAAGGAAAAGGAAATGGAAGGAGAAAGTCAGGTCTTTGATGTGAATCTAGCTGGAAGATTAAGTTCTTTAATATTTCCTAGAGCTCTCTAACACTAGTGGAGGGCTGAATACAAATTCTACCCGGCCTTTACCTTGGCCACATTTTGGAATTAACCTCCATAACCACGAGGGCTCAGATCTTTATGATATCCTTTCCTCATGTAGTGAGTGTTTGTGGCTTCCTTAACTACATGCAAATAAACTCTACCAATTTGAGTACCATCACTTTTTAGAGCACTCAATTAAATGATAAGGAGAGCATAACTCAAGTTACTGGTGGTGTTCTTCGTGCACACACAAGTAATAATCCCATCACTATCAGAATCAATACTTTCCTCTACTTGCACTGCGAAGGCACCTGGTTTTCCCCGGATCACTCCTCGGTGAGACCTGTAGGGAGGAGCTCTCAGCAGCACCTGTCTGTTGGCAGAGCAGCCCCAGCCTGTTTGGTGCTAGCAAAAGAAGTTACTTTGCCTGAAAGTCTGTTACCTCTGATTGGGCAGCTGAGTGGGTGGAAGGCAGGATGGGGGCTGCAGCAGCGACACAGTGATGAGGAACAGAAGGCAGATGGATGCTAACGGGCTTCATGGAACAGTGGAAGTTGTTATCTTTCTGAAAGCTTCTGAAACATCCACTTCACTGAGTGAAAAATGTTTGTGGGAATGAAATTTTGACGTTAGTCAGGTGGAACATCAATAATCTTTCAATGCAAACTATTTTTAGGCCACTTTAGACACTTCTCTATTATAATTGAGAGCAACAAAGAAACGTGGGATGTTTGAAGGGAAAGCGAGGTGTAAATCAATGCGTGTGATGCACAAAACTATCTGTATAAGTAGTTTTTGTTTTATTTGGACATTTGTAAATGTAAAATGATTCAGGAAAAAACACCTTAGATATTTGTACACTTGTACAGTGCCTGTTCTGGTGAAATTCTGAAATTGGTTGCAAAATACAAATTATTAAAATTACTGAGACATTTAAGTTCAACAGTATTGTAGAATTTGAGACTTGTCCAGTACAGCCTTCCATCTGAACTATTGAAATTATTTATTTCACATGGTTAAAGGACATGTAGACAAGGATACCACATCCAGAGTAGGTGTGAAGATTAACAAAGGCACAGCAGAAGGTATGGTATTCTATTCTCCCAAGAGATTTTTGCTGGAAAATTAGAGACTGTCTTCTCTATGTAGAAAAGGAACAGCTGAATGACAACACTTAGAATATTTTCTGCATGTGAAATTGAATGTAATTGTTACCGAAATAAACAAGTGCAAATTGTTTGCAGCAAAGAAAAGAACTATCCTGGTGGGCAGGAAGTTGCATTTACTCCTACTTGTTACTATAAAAAAAAGATTTGATATTCTTGGTGACTATGAAGATTAAACCAGAGATTTATGTTAATGCAAAGGATTAAAAGAATCTTAATAACATGCATAAAGATGCAAATGTTCGCCTGCATTTTATCTGCTTGCAGATGAATATGCCATAAGGGAGATACTAAATGGGGAGAACGCATCCTCTCTCTGAATTGGAACATCTGGTTTAATACTGCACTCACATGGTGACTGAGTATTAATTGTTTTCACCAATGTGTTTTTTGAACAGTGTGATAATTTCTTTTTTTTTTTTTTTAAATTATGAGGAAATAGCAATATTTGACCAACTTCATACATAATGCCTGTTTAGCGTGCGCTTGGTGCGCTGCAGATTTTGATGAAGTATATCTATTCCATATTTGTTTATTTGTTTATCCTGTAATTTCCAAAGATTTCATTTTCTAACTAGTGAAGAACTTAAAATATTACATTTGCTGTCGAGCTTACAGCTTTGTTCCCCCAGTTCCAAACTGTCCTTCAGTGTAAACACAAGCCATACCAGCATGGAAAATTATGTGCTTTATTTGGGAGCCCTGACATATAGTATTATTATACACGTATATACTTACACGTCATAAATGATTTGAAAAAGGAGGCATTTAAGGTGAAGGTGTAAACATCACTAACCACTTATGTTCTGTTTTAGGTTTGTTTTCCTGTTCTTTGATCAATTCTTACTAACAGACGTGTGTATAAACAGAAGCCACCTGGGTTTGTAATGAAGTTCAACTGAAACGGGAAGTGTCCCAGCACTCAAATCAGTATAAATCTTCAAAAGGTTTTGAGTAGTTAAACATCAAATAATCCATGTAGTAAAAGTCATAACTTTGTTGCCTTTGAGAGGGAGAAAGCTGTGCAAAGTACTGTTGTGTGATTTTAGTGGTAGTTCTTTCTTCATTGGAGTGCCTATCTTTGAACTTAGGGAAAGTCAAATTTTGTGGAGCACCAATTAGGTGCAAGAAAAAGTTTGCATCTTCTTCCATGCTTTCAAATTTCCCAACAAAGTCGTAATCTATTAGACATGGGCTGCAAAGCCTATTGACGTGATCCCAGTGGATGTCCATACCCACTGGCCTATGTACATCCAGGAGATATTGAATGAACTCTTTAAATTTGACTCCAGAGCCTGTCCTTAATGCTTCTTTGGTGGCATTGACACGGTATCTGGAAATGATGGCTTTTCCAAATACGGGATGATAGTAATTGTTTGGGTGTTCGAACTTGTCCCGAAATGCAGATACCAGCTTTTCAAAAGGTTCCCGAATAAAAAGCATCTTTGTGTAAGTGTTGAGCCTGTGATAAATTCCTTTGCGGTCAAACCCATCCAGCCTTTTTAGATAGTTGCCGTAGTGCACTGTGTTGTGTTGTATATCTTTAGTGGAAGAAGCCAGCCCATTGAGAACCATGAGCACCCGTTTCCAGTTAGAGCAGCCAGCTTTTGGTACTTCACAGTACAAAACTCTGTATTTGTCTTCTACAAATATTCTAGAAACGTGGTAAGGAGTGATTATTCTTCTGTTATTACTCTTGTACTTAGAACAAATTTCCTTCATTATTTGCTTTCTTTTGCTTTGTATCTGGTAGAGACTTTTCCATTTGTTATTTCTGTCGTCGTATTTAAGTGTGGGCAAGTTGAGAGTGGAACTGTTCATGGAAATCAGAATTGGGCTCTTCTTAATTACAAACCTCCTCCTCCGTTTATGGAGCCTCACTGAATTAGTTTCCTCACTTTTCTCTTGGTAATCTTTCATAAACATTGTGCTGCTTTGCCTTCTGTCTATGCTTTGAAGCTTGGAGGGCACATTTTCAGATGGGTGTAATGAACCACTCAGCTTTACTGTTGCTACCCCGTCTGCAGTACTTTTTCTTAATCTTCTATCCTGGTTATTGCTGGAAACGCAGTCCTGATAGAAAAATAGATGAAAGATGTTACTGAATGAGAGACTTATTTGTCACTATTAGCAGCTTGTGCAACACAACGTAGATCTTTTTGTAGAGCTGTGATTGCACTGCTGCAAGTCCTTGGTGCCTGTGCTGTGCAGCTGACTTTTCTCTATGCTTACGCCCATTCTGAAGGCTGATATGAGCCTGAATTGGTAAATTCTGGTTCAGATTTGGGTTTTGCTATATTTTACTTGGTGCCTGTGCCCATATTTTGATAGACTTTTGCCCCTTTAAATTCTTTTGGTGGAAATGTCAGCATATTTTGAGGACTTAATTTTTCCAGGCTGCCTGTTGTCACACATCTGTTTCATGTTTTGTCCCCCACCCCTTTCTTTCAGTATGGTATCTTGGCACGGAGGACAGTTGTTCCCAGAGTGAAGCCTTCCAGGGAAAGAAGGGTAATGGGGCTTGTGGAGTAAGGATGTGGAGGGCAAAAGAGTGGGATGAAGAAAACAAAGAACTGCAGTGAGAAGATGGAGCCTTTAATGAGTAGAAAGGGATGGGGTAAGAGCAGCATGAACAGGGAAAAGGGGAGCCTGGAGTGAGGTGAGTTTGGAGACCAGAGCAATTCTCACTTGATGAAAAGCAGCAAATGATAAGAATGAAGCTTGACTGGGATTAGGAGAGTGAGAACAGAGCAAGCAAAGTGAGTCTCTGGATAAGGAGTTTCTGGGACCTGCTCTCTTTCATTAAGAGGATCTCACTGGTTAATATTCCTCTTGGCACACAGCCTGGGTGTGTTCCGCTACTTCCTGCTTCTCAAAGCAGCTGAATTAAATCCCTGTCTACAAGTCTTTGCCTCTACAGCTGAAATTACGTTCTGGATATACTTGAACTCCTTGTCAGCCCTGTTCTGAGGAGTCATCTGGGAGCTGAGTGGCGTAGGAACCATAGGGAACATTTCAACAAAGAAACACATACAGCTGTGCAGTGTATATTGTTTATCAAAAATATTTGATGTGTATGTAGTTGCTTTATAAATCATAAAATGCAGATTTTGCAGTCTTTATTTGCCTCCTAATAGCATTTAAGTGACTTGAAAAATAAGATATTCGAGGAATTTTAAGTTATACACATGGGAAACAAAATTGGTAGAGTACTATGCAATTTGTTATGGCACTTTGTGCTGTAGAATTTGGGCTTCTAGAAAGCTTTGTCTGTTCTGGTAATGGTGGTTTTGTGACTGGGAAAGCAACTGATGATTTGTTACACAAGATGCTATCTATTCAGCTGTCGAGAATAATAGTTCTCTCTTTATCTTGAGAGGCTGCTTATAGTGGTCAAATGTGTACTGAAATTTTTGTCCAGGTAAAATACAGGATGTGACACATTATTTCTAACTATTATCCTTCACATAGTGGCAGAAATTTGATTTTACTTATTCGTGATATCACTGATATTTCATGTTTATCAGATTCAGACTTCCGAGATATTTACAGCGTGGTAACAAAGAACCTCCTGGTTTTGAGAAACTGTCACGATTTGAACGTGTTCTGTCAGTGTAATTCTTCGTCCAGAAGGCCAGGCTGAAGCTACAGAGATGGAGGGATGTCATTCGGATCTCACTGGTTTCATAGGCAGTGGCTTTTGGGTAACAGCTGGCAGCAGCGCAGTTGTTCCTTTGCGTACTTAGTGCTGGGGCTTGACCTGAAACCGAGTAGCTGCTGTGGGCAGTCACTGCTGCTGCGAGTGTGTTAGTAGCCACTAGATGGAGGAATTTCACCAGGATTTTTCTTTGGCTTATTTTTAAGTGCATCTCCTTTGCTCAGTGCAATTTCACAAAATATTAATCGAAGTTTACAGTACCTTTTAGCAACATCCAGCCTAGGAAAAAAGCTCATAAAGCTAAAGTTGAGTAGGTTATAAAATTCATGTATTAAGAGGAAAACTTGCACTTAATGGCAAAGCTTTGATGCATATTTCTGTTTGAGAGCTTCATCTCTAGTCTAGTGATGTTATCTGACCCATCTCTATTCTTACTCTAAACTCAGAATAGAGATACAATTCTCCTTATGTACTTCTGGAGACTTACTTTTTTTGGTTGCTGGAGTCCCATGTTATATTTTATCCCTAAACAAAGAAAGAAATTACAGTCATTATTTAGTAAAAATGCACATACGTTAATTTTGCTTGACTGATATCAATGTGTGTCCTCTCAGTAACAACAGGGAGAACAGAAACATGTTGGTACAATGATGTATGGACCTATGATGAACTGAAATTAATGTGTATTTCATAGTAACAATACTCCTTTGAAGGACCCTTTATATATGAAAAGCCATTGTGAAAGGAAGTAAATGTCATTATCCCTTTTCTACAGATGGGGAAACTGAGATGGAGGAAAAGTCTACTTAGCCTCAGTGAGTGGGCCAGCAGAAGAACAAAAAACTCCTGATTGCAGGTTAGAGCTTTAAGAAACGCTGTTCTTTGTGTGCTTACCTAAAGCTGCGTTAGCATTCTTTTCCTAAATTTTCCCAAACTTTGGACACTAGGGTGCTTAATCACAGCAGTAGTGTGCACTGAGTACTATCTTTTGCTGTAAAACCAAAGCAATGCACAATTGCCTTACACGTAAGAAAGAACTGTGTTTTGCTAAATCTTCTGTCTTATATAGTGTGCCTGTCTGCCTGAAAACATAATGATAAAGATGTGAAAATCCTAGATGAGAGCTCTGTAAGAGACATAGGATCTTTTTGTTGTTCCTATCCTCTGCTAGTATAATAATACAGGATGCATAATGGAAAACATTTCTTAATTATAAAATTAGTTCGGAGCTTTTCAGCTTATAACAACCAGCATTTGCTGCCAGTAGTTCCAGTTTAATAAATCTGCATTACAAAGCCACAACATTTCAACAAGGACAGTTACAGGTAAAGGTGTTGCAAGACACTCTAAGTGAAAGCACCACTGACTAGCTCAGTCTGGGTTCATTTTCATAATGCTGTGAAAGCTCTTGCCCGCCTACTTATTCACACTTCAGTTAATTGCAGTTATAGTAGTTAGTCCAACTTATACAATCAATCATGGTGTTTTTTCCTCTTTTAAATCAAAACTACAAACTGGTGTTAATTGTAGTCTGAGTCAAATTGCTGAAGTTATTTCTATGCTGTTGGAGCTCATCCTAGCAATGCTTATCGCTTCTTTGATTCGTGTTTGAGTTTTAATCCTCAAAAAAAAATGCAGCAATTTGTTAGTAGTAGCAGAAATGCTAAGTTATGGCTTGAAGCACTGATTGAGCACCTGGTGGAAAGGAGGGCCAACCCAGGGGAGCTCAGTGCATGCAGTGCACCTGAGTGACCAGAAGGGGTGGAGCCAGGATGCACCTTTTCCTAAACTCCTCATTTAAGGGCTGGCAGAGGAGGTGAAAGTTTTTTGCTGGAGATTCCTGCCTACCTGAGGCATTCTGGTAAGCAGGTAAGCAGATTCTTTCCTTTGTTTCTGTGCCTACAGCTGTTATGTTTGAGCAAGTCCTTGCTTACTGTGGCCTAGAACTTTGCTACTCTGCTGTCATGGCTGTGGTTTCCATTGCGTGACAGCGTTACATTTGTAATAAACTCAAGGTGGATTATTAAAAGCAACGGGCATGTTATTTTTACTTTATCAGAAGTAGTTTTCAGATGCCTTACATGAGTCTTAAGCTTTTTTTTCTAGCTTATTTGCAGAAATGTTTAGCTGGAAATTAAGGAGAGAGATTCTAAGGAGAAAAAGAAGTGGTCTATAGCATCCTTGTCTGTGTTATGAAAGACTTAAGCTGGTTGTCTTGTACTAGGCTTTATGTTACTGACTTGCTATCCAGTTCTTGATGTGATCAAATTAAGGATTTTCTCTTTTTCCATTCCTGTGTACTTTTACAGAGCAATGAGGTTATGGAATCTGCTGTCCAACAAGCATTAAAAAAATTGAGCACCAGCACTTTATACATATTCATACTGGAGCCTGGATGATTGGGTTAAACCATAAATCAGTTCTGTTTGTCAGCAGATGTAACCTTCTGCTTGCTTTGTAACCCTGGAGGCATAACTTTAAGCCACTTGAGCTGAATTTGTGTTGGCTGCTTGGCCTATAGCCTAAGGCATCATTAATAAGGCTAGATGGAGTAGCTGTCGAACTTTTACTTTGGGCTTTCTTATAGCAGTGTTTGAAATTAAATGTGTGTTTTCTTTCAAATTCATAATATTGTTACAGTATTCCTTCTCTTGTAGGTAGAAATCATATGTGCCAATACAGCTGTGGAAAAATTAATGCAGAAAAAAAAAATTAGTTTGTAGGTCGACTCTTCTGATTTCCAGAGTAAATTTAGCATAATGCACTTTGTATCAGTGTTGTTATAAGAATTACTCACAGTGGCTACCAATTTCAGTTCTGCTTTTATACCTCTAAGTGTTTCATTTCTAAATCTCTCTTTAAACTGGTTTCAGTGTTAAATCATGCCTTATTCTCTGTCACAGAGGTATGGAAATGTACTTTGGTTTTTGGTAATGCCAAAATTCATAAGTGAAGGTTTACATATTTAAAATATTTATCCTACTGTGAATGATCTGTGCCTATGAGTGTAAGGCAGAGGAACTGGTGTTGCAACTATACCCAAAAGATAGGAGTTTGTAGGCATTGTATCTTATTTTCCTCTCAGTTTCCAAAAACTCTTTGAGATTTTTCCCAAATGAAAGCATGTATAGATGAGAAAGACTTGGTCACTAGTCAGGAAAGTAAACCATTGTTTTGGACTGAATGAAATGCAAGTATTTGAGCATTTACTGTGTCTAGATAGTAATGTAAGAGTTAGTGTTAAGTTCTTGACAGGTTTGTTTAGTTACAGTCATTTCTTTTGACATCAGTGGAAACAGTGATAGTTTATAGCAAAATCACATCCTCAGTGTAATTACCCATAGAAGTCTGCATGTACCTGCTATGAATAATAATAATAAAAAAACAAGGTGCAAAGAGCAGCTATGGAACCCGTTTTTTTCTTTGATTAATTATGAGCTATTATGTTTCTGTAGCATCATTTCATAAAGGTAGCTTGTTTTGGGGACAAATATCTTGCACTCACAGGCTGTGCTTTGAAAAATTATAAATAAATGCTGGTAGGCAATGAGTAACAGTTTTTGAAAATGATTCTTCACTTACTGCTGTTCACACATAATCAGAACAACAATTCATGTTCAATGTAAATGTTTGGTGGAGCACTTGCCAATCTCTTCAATGTTTTCTGAATTGTGACTTCTAAGAGTTGGCTTCTTCTAGCTGTCTTTCTCGTAATACAGTCTGTCACTTCAGATTTAAAGGTACATGAGGGAAAAAACCTCTTAAGTTCAGTGGATTTGGAGAAAGCATATTGCACAGATCTCCTCTGCTAATCAAGTGTAAACTTAATGTTATGCTGCATCTTTGTGATCTTGGCAATAACATTTGAGAGCTAGGAAGTAACGTGGATCGTAATTTGTCTTTGCTGTAAATAAAAGGCTGTTGTCTGCTGTGCCCAGGTAGTTGATCATTTAATGTTTGGTGCCAGTATCTCACTAGTGCTCAGACAGAGAAAGAATAGCCAAGAGACAGAATCATTCTATCAATTGTACACTGTTAATGTCAGCTTTCGTGGTGTTTTCTTCTCCTTCCCTTGTGCAACCGTGATTTTCCAAACCTGAGCTTGGTCTGCTTTTGTTGTTTTTCAAGAAATATGAGCCTTATGCTTCATCCATTCCTACCATACAGTCAGTTGCATTGTGAGCTTTTCCTTTTTTTTTTTTTAAATGCTGCTAGCAACACAATAAAATGGCCTTCATCTTCCCAGTGTAATATTATATAGCTTTGCCTCTCCTGCCTTCTCCTCTATCTCTGCTTCAAGACCTAATTTTGGTTTGCCTGGAGTGGTGTTTTGCTCTGTTCTGAGACCGCACTGCAGCTGAAATATTTGTTAATAAAAATGATAACTTCAAGTCTGCTTCTGCAACTCCTTTCCTTTAGTGGTCTTCTGTAAGCAGCATATACTTATTTGCTTCATCTTAATTGATTTTTGAGCTATGTATACTCTGGGGGGCTGTTCACGTCATTGCACGAACATCTGAGCCAAGTGTCCCATTCCCATGTGCTTACTCAGGGAAGACATCACATACTTAATCACAGAATCAATAGTGGATTAGTACTCAGAATTCTGATTAGTGTGAAAAATTGTCAGTTTCAAAAGGGTTTTCCCCAGAATTTTGGTCAGATGATTTTAAATTTCAGAGGGGAAAAAAAAAAGAACATGCAAAAAAGAAGAAACTGGAAAAAGAACTGTTAGTTTGACTTGTATATATGAAATGCCCATTCCTGATCCCAACTTATTCCAGCATCTAATTGTTTACATATTTTAATTAAGTTACTTAAAATGGGAAAATGTAATTGCTGTTGTATATGTAAAACCAAATATTTCGCAATAAAAAATATTGTTAAGTGTACATATTTGGAGTACTTTTTAATTACAGAAACTTTGTTAGGAAACAATTCTATATTAAAATTGAGGCCTAATCAATCAGAAAGTACATGTGTATCTGTTGTACATGCAGGCATAGTAAGCAATTAAGTTTTTATATCTAAAACTCAAGGGTTTTTGAGTGTTTTGGTTAATTGATACAATGCTGAACCACTGTCAAAGCTAAATGCTTAGTGACAAGACAGGCATCACAGTGTTTTACAGAGAACTATGAAGTCATGCATTTCCAAGTCACTACAGTGTCTGACTTTGGCTTGTGTTTAATTTTACATTAATTTTTGCGGACAAGGCGAGAGAGTTTCACTCTCTGTGAATAGCAGGGTACATGGAGGAAGTTTTAAAGCCTCCTGATGTTTGACCAAGTCTGTAATTCTTGAGATGAATGCAGTCAAATGCTGTCTCCATAGCACCTTTTACTCTTACAGAACTTAAAATCAGATCATTTTGGCAAATCAGTTATAAGTTGTCATGTTTTGAATTCAAATAGTAGTTGTTTTAAACCCCCATATTAGCTGATAAATTTTACTCTGAAGAATTTCAGTCCCGACTCATACAGTGATTTTATCTATGTATTTTAAAGTAAAAACTAGATTAGATT